GAAATTTAAACAATATTGTTATCAAATGGTAAATCAAAACTAATCCAATACCACACACGCTAAGACAATAACAATTAACGTAGATAATTAACAAGTGAATTAAAATATATTACCATTTTTGTCGGCTGTAAAACCAAATAACTAAGATCGAGTGCATATTAGGAACTGGACATGTTTAGAAAGAAGAAGACATCAATTTTTTAATGAATTATTTTTATTTTTGATTTAGTTAATGAGAATATATATTTTAGTTGGTAAATCTAAAGTATATTTACAATATATCATTAGATTATTTTAAATCGTTAAAAATAGATTTGTTTGTGAGTTAGCTCACGACTCATCTGAGCTGGCTCGCATAACTCGCCAACTCATTTAAGCTCGATCACTTAACTCGTTTACTAAATGAGCCTAAAAACATAGCTTGCGCTCGTCAAAATCGAGCTGAGCTAGCTCATGAGCTAGTGACTCGTTTGACACCCCTACCGCTCGCCTCTCCGGTGGTCGGTTTTAATCGGCGCCGTCAGAGGGCACTCTTCTCTTCTCCTTTTGTTACGTGGTTCTATGGTGCTTGATTTGTCTATGATCTGCTTGATTTACTTTCGTCTCTAGCGGTGGGTGGGTAGGAGAAGCGTTGTGTGTGACGACCGTGTCTCGGTGTTTGGGTCCTCTCCGCTGTGGCTCTTGCTTGTCGATGATGATTGTCTTCGACGGAGTACAGCTAAGTCCCTATACTTGCCTCACACAGCTCGATTGGTGTGGACTTGCGAAGCAGATCTGTTTCCTCCCTTGCGTTTTCAGTGACGGAGCTAGCCTTAATTGGCAGAGGAGCGGCGTCTTCTGGTATCGCTACTCCATTGTATGCAGGTTTCACCTTCCTCCTAACATTGTTTTGGAAGCCCACCGCACCTCGTCTCTTCCGGTGATTGGACTTCTCCTCCGTCGGTTTCTTCTCCTCGAGGACGGTGGAATTTGCTGAGGAGATTGTTTAAGTTCTCACTTGGAAGTGCGTTGTTGTCTTTGAGGGTTTGTGGCTTTTGAGATTTCTTGTGAAGGTGGACAGATTGATTTCGAGCTAGGTCTTGGGTAATATGCGTTTCTACTAAATCTGGAGCCTTGGTCTCTTTATCCTTCCCTTTTCGACTTGTTTCAGGGCAATGCTTCCGGTTGGTACATTTTGGTTTCACCTAGGATGATAAGCTTGATGAAATAGCATCTCCTCGATCGGTTTCAACCTTCGGACTGGAGTTGAATCTTCTGTTGAGTAGTTTATTGTGGCGTATTGAGTGTGAGGATTTGTCTTAGGTGTCCCCTTGGTGTGTCTTACGGTCCTTGCGGTGATGAAGGTTTGGAGTTTGTATTGCTGCCGGTGGTGGCTTCTTATTGGCTCCTATATCTTCATCGCGGTATATCTAGTTTTGAGAGTCATGTCTTGCCATGTTGTTGTTTGTGTCTGGCTATTGGTATTGCCTAGTTGTTGTTGCCTTGCTTGGCTTATGGCAGGGGGTTGGTGGCTTTTAATCTGAGCATTAGAAGACATAGTAAGACTATTGGATTGGCGTAGTCTCGTATAGTTAAATTTAGCACTGTACTATTGACCTTGAGATGAGCTTGGTAGGGTCTCCTTGCGTTAATCTCTGTTAAGTTGGTGAGGTTTCGTCCTTTTTTTAGCTCATGGCTTATGTTACAAGCCACTCTCACATGACTCGAGAGGAGTATGTGATCGAGGGTTGC